GGTCTCAGTATGATTCCCGCCTGTTTGGTTGTTGTCTTGACAATTACTATGGCCGTTGGCACCAAGCGGATGGTTGAAAGACATGTCATCGTTCGCAAACTTGACTCGCTGGAAGCACTCGGTGCCGTCACCAATATTTGCTCGGACAAGACTGGAACGTTGACCCAGGGCAAGATGGTGGCCAAGAAGGCATGGATCCCATCCCGCGGTACATATTCTATCGGAACTTCAAATGAGCCGTTCAACCCGCACGTTGGCGCTATGGGCTTCGAAGCCGCGCCCCCCGTGAAAGCAGCTACCAACGACGAACCGGCTGAAGGCATCTCCCCGGAAGACCTTCTCAAAGACAACGACGATCTTGTCAAATACCTCGACATTGCGTCCATGGCTAACCTTGCTCACGTCTACAAGAATGACCAGGATATGTGGCATGCTCGTGGCGAGCCTACAGAAATCGCTATCCAGGTCTTCGCATCTCGCTTCAACTGGAACAGGGACCGGTGGACCAAGGGTGACAATGCCCAATGGCACCAGAAAGCTGAATTCCCCTTCGATTCTAGCATCAAGAAGATGTCTGTTATTTTCGAGAACCGGAACGAAGGCCGCCAGATGGTCTACACGAAAGGTGCCGTTGAACGTGTTCTTGAGGCATGTACCACCGTCGTGTGGAACCAGGGCGAAGGGCCCATCCCACTGACCGAGGAGCATTCTAATGAGATCCTTGAGAACATGGAAGTCATTGCCGCCCAGGGACTGCGTGTTTTGGCACTCGCCGGTCGGGAATACAAGGGATCGCAGCTGGAGGATGGCGATTACAACCGTGACGAAGTTGAGAAGGACTTGACCTTCCGCGGTTTGATCGGCCTCTACGATCCTCCTCGCCCAGAAACCGCCGGCGCTATCGAAGAATGTTTCCGTGCGGGTATCTCCGTTCACATGGTTACTGGCGATCACCCTGGTACCGCACGGGCCATTGCTGCCCAGGTTGGCATCATCCCAAGCGACCTGAGCAATGTGGCGAAGGATGTCGCTGACGCCATGGTGATGACGGCTGGCCAATTCGACAAACTCACCGACGATGAAGTTGACGCGCTGCCCACTCTCCCACTGGTCATTGCCCGATGCGCACCAAATACCAAGGTCCGCATGATCCAGGCACTTCACCGACGCGGCCGCTTCTGCGCCATGACCGGCGACGGAGTCAACGACTCGCCGTCTCTCAAACATGCCGATGTTGGAATTGCCATGGGCGAGTCTGGATCGGACGTTGCCAAGGATGCCTCCGATATCGTTCTGACTGATGACAACTTCGCCTCGATCCTCAACGCCATCGAAGAAGGTCGCCGTATCTTTGACAACATCCAGAAATTCGTCCTCCATCTGTTGGCCGAGAATATTGCGCAGGCCTGTACCTTGCTGATCGGATTGGCGTTCAAGGACGCCGATAACCAGTCCGTGTTCCCGTTGGCACCCGTGGAGATTCTCTGGATTATCATGATCACGTCTGGAATGCCTGACATGGGTCTCGGTATGGAAATTGCCGCTCCCGATATCATGGATCGTCCACCTCAAAGCGTATGTTGCCATTCCCCCCCCCCCCCCCCCCCAAAACAAAAAAAAAAAAAACAAACCCACACCATTCTCTCTAAAATAAAAAATAAAAATTCTACTCTTTGTTCAGTTTTCTAACACCCAAAATCTCAATACAGAAACAAGGTATCTTCACCTGGGAAATCATCATTGATATCCTCGCCTACGGCCTCTGGATGTCTGCCCTCTGCCTTGCCTCCTTCACGCTTGTACTGTACGGATTCGGCGACGGCAACCTCGGACGCGGCTGCAACACCACCTACACCGACCAGTGCGATACCGTCTTCCGCGCCCGCGCCACCACCTTTGTCTGCCTAACGTGGTTCGCGCTCTTCCTCGCGTGGGAGATGGTCAACATGCGCCGCAGCTTCTTCCGCATGCAGCCCAAGTCCAAGAAATACTTCACGCAGTGGATATACGACGTGTGGCGCAACCAGTTCCTCTTCTGGGCCATCATGGCCGGCTTCATCACCATCTTCCCCCTGCTGTACATCCCCGTCATCAACACCGTCGTGTTCAAGCACAAGGGCATCTCGTGGGAGTGGGGCATTGTCTTTATCGAGGCGGCGCTGTTCTTTGCCGGTGTCGAGGCGTGGAAGTGGGGCAAGCGCGTCTACTTCCGCCGCCAGGACCGCAAGACCAAGGCCAAGGCGTCGTCTGGCGATGCGCGGATCATCGATAGTGAGCAGTAGAAAAACAACGCGCGTGCGCGCCGCCGCCGAGGAGGGTTGGGGGGAGAGGGGGAAAAAAATTGGGGTTTTTTTTTTTTTTTTGGTTTTTTTCTTTTTGTTTTGGGAGGTTGATTGTTTTGCCATGTACTCCGTATGTGTTTGCGACTGTTGGGAGGATTATTTTTTTTTTCTCTTTTTCGCGCAGCACAAGCGGGTGCGTGGCAGGGTCTCTCAGCCTTGCTTGGTTGGTCCCCCCATCCATCAATCATCCCATCTCTCTCATCCTCGAGGCTCAACATTCGGTGGTTGCTCGTTCACTCGATTTTCCCTCCCATCACACCCCGCGCCTGAAAATAGGGGGCCCAGTTCTCTGAATGGCTGGGCGGGTGAAAAGGGAAAAAAAAAAAAAAAAGAAAAAAGAAGAAAAAAGAAAACAAAGCAAATTCCAATTCCTTTTCAGTGGAGGAAAAAGGAACCTCACCTCTTACATTCACAAAATGCGCACTCGCCGCCTCCACCAAAACAAAACAAAAGCACTCGAGTCAGTGTTGCGAACGCGCAACTTTTTTCGGGACGGGGGATGAGATTTGGTGAGCTTGATATATATTTTTCATTTTCTTTATTTTCAATTTTTTTTTTCCTTCCATCTTAACATAGGTAAGTAGGGTGCGAAACAAAAGAAAATGATGAGCGAGAACGAAAGAAAAAAGAAAAAGAAAACGAAAGAAAGAAGATGAACAGGGAGGGGGATGTTGAAGAAAAGTTGACAAAGAGAAAAAGTTGGGATGCATCATGGGAATTCTCGGTGCAATAACAAAAGTCCCTTCTTTTTTTTTGGACTTGCAAATGCGATTTTTATTTTTTAAATTGGAGTCGCATAGACAAAACAAAAAAGCATTCCCTTGCTTTTTCTCTCTTTCTTGAATTTTTTTTTTTTTCCCCTTTATTTTTTCAAAAGAAGTACGGAGTAGTTTACATACACATGGCTAGATAAAAAAAAACGGCAATTACCCACAGTTTGTGCTTATTTTTTTTTTTTATTTATTTGCTTTATCTATTTTTTTTTTCTTTAGTATTATTATTGTCTATTATCCATCTCATTTTACTTTCAGGATTTTTATTATTATTATCATTCTTGTTTTTGGTTATGTTCTTGGAAAACTGTGATTGATTATTATTGATTTCTTCTACGCGTCTTTTTTCTCTTTCTGGGGGCGGCTTCAAAAGGGCCGTGGAGTGGATGGAGTCAACAACCTCTTCGCCCAGCCAGCTTGTTTTCTAGCTGCGTTCTTCAGTTAGTTTTTTTTTTTATGTATGCAACTTGACGAGCAAAATAGGGTAGTTAATAAATGGAGTGCGTATGCATCATGAGCGGTTAAGATCCTACCTCCTGGCTCAAAATCGTCTGTCTCTTCAAGAACTTGCTGCAAACTGCAAAATCTCATTCCATCGTGGATGGAATGTTAAGAGCATCTCCTTAATTCTCAACCTCGTGCGGCGCCGGAGAGAGGGGGAGGAGCTATGTGATCTGAATTGGCAATTTTTTCCAACACCCTCCCTCCTCCTCTGGTTGCGAGCTGACTACAGAGTAAGGTACCATCTCGTTAGATTTCGAGAAGGGAGGGGAAGGGGAAGGGGAAAAGGAAGCAGCCAAAATCAATCCAAGGAGGCAGATTGTTGGCATGTTTAGTTATAATAATATCCGCTGCTCCGGCTGCTGGTCCGTCCATCAGCGGGTTCCAAACGTCCGAGACCCAGAGCCTCCCCCCCCCCCCCCCCGAAGGATGTTTGAAATTTTGATGGCCTATTTTCTGAGTTTGTGCACACTGTTTTGAGCCGTCAGCGGGAACAGTTAGATCTCTCGAGCAGGCTTTTGGTGCATAAATGACACTCACTCCTCTTGCAGATGAACCTGATATCGGGCGTTTAATTCAGTCAGGTATTGCATGGAACTCGTGGGTTTAATTAAGGCCTCCAGACGGTTCGTCACAAGTAGGCAAATGCTGCTCAGCCTGGATACTCAGCTTCAACAGTTTGGCTCTCATCTTTACCAAACTCCCACCGTAGCATTGTGGGCGGCAAACGGTCAGGGGATTAATTGCAGAAGGGAGAGAGGTAGCGGCGATAGGAAGGGAAATCCGTATTAACGAAAGGTTCTAGAAGGGGGGCCTTTGTGGCGCAGCAGCAGGCAGCAAGATCCTCCTGGTAAAACAGTCAGCAAGCAGTGGATCAGAAAGAGAAGAAGAGGAAGAGGAAGAGGATGAGGATGAGGATGAGGATGAGGATGAGGATGAGATTGAAGCAGCCAGATGGATAGATATGATATCAATGTTAGATATCAGACTTTCTTATATATTCATTATTCCTTCAATCCTCAAATCCTTACCCCTGAATCCTTGGCGCCATCATAAATATTTAGCTAATAATTTATTATTGAGCTTCAGAATTAAAAAAATAAGAAGTACTCGCAGAAGAAAGAAAGAATAAAATATATCCCAGTTAGTTATTTATGCCATTAATTATTCAACTTTTAAATATAAAAGAACAATTCTGCTCAAAGGGCAGACAAATAATACAATAATTCCTTATTTAGCTCTGTTGAAGACTCATTTTCCTTTTCTTTTCTTCTTTGTCTCTTCTTTTTTTTTTTTTTTTTTTTCTTGTTTCTTTTCCCCCAATATTTAAGTTAACTATTAAGTTACTATTATTTAGTTAAAATCATTAATGCTCCGAAGTGACGTCGCATTAAATATTTAAATATTTAAATATTTATTATTTATTCCACCTTTCTTCTACAGCTTGCTGGATGTTCATTTCTCTCCTTCGACATTCCTTTTCATCCGCAGCTATTCTCAACTATTTTATTTCCCTTAGACACCTAACTTATTTAGTCAGTTATAATAATTAAAAAATAATCCATCATCATTGCAGAGTGAGTGAGTGAGTGAGTGAGTGAGCCCAGCCCCAGCTGCCATTTCCATTTGTCCTGTTTTTCATTGCTCTCTATCTATCAATTGCTACAGAAAGAAATAAACAAAATAACAAACAGCCTTGCGGTGTTCCTTCTTTCCTCCCGCCGAGCATTGTCAGGTTGTATTTAATTCTATTGTACTGTACATGACCATATTTATAATTTATAATTTATATATTCTAATCCAACACAACAGTCTACGTTTTGCTACGCAGTAACTAATCTCGAAGAATTGCTGTTTGTTTCGCAGTCTTGTTTGTTGTTTGGACCCCCCCCAAAAAAAAAATTAAAAAATTAAAAAGTCAACTCTCCGCCTCCTCTCCTCCTCTCCTCCTCTCCTCCTCTCCTCCTCTCCTAACTATAACAAAACAAACCATCCGCATCCTTTTTCACTCCAACACACTCTTTTTAATTCCTTCCTCCTCCGCGAATCCCCCGCATCCAACCGCCTACATTTCCACCATCAACCGCCCTCTGCTCCGGACTGGCGGGCAATAATAACCCATCCCTGCTTGATAGCTCGATCGTTCCCACTTCACCTTTATTAAGTAATAAGTTGTCCTCACGGTTAACTAGTTACCACTCCCAAGCTCCGATCCGACACCTCCGCAGTACCTACCCGTCTTCGTCGTTTTTACAACAGCTTCAGGCAGGCTATTCGAGGAGGGATCGCCTTTTTCTTACAAAAATGAGTATGCGCACGAGAAGGCAAAAGGCCGCTGCAGCAGCAGCAGGCGCAGGTTTAGCGCCACCGTCATCTCATGATGAGATAGAGGATTCCATGCCCACCGTCAATGGTTCTGTGCACAAGAGCAACAGTACACCCCCCCCCCATTCCACCTCGTCCTCTACCTCCTCCACCTCCAAGCGGAGACGATCCCGCTCCCCCGCCGTGGTAGCGGAACAGAGAGAGAATATATTCCTTTTCTATCCTAATATAATCGGTGGGTTTTAACTCTACTTTTTCCTTGTTATGTCTTGTAACGCCCTAACACCCTCAAATGCTAACCCGCGTCCCGTCCTATCCTCTGTCTTGACCCCAGGCTACTTCCGTGTTTTCCTCGCAATCGCTTCCCTCTACTATATGCCCCTGCACCCGCGAACTTGCTCTCTCCTCTACAGCGTATCGTGTCTACTGGACGCCCTTGACGGCGTCGCAGCCCGCCACTTCAACCAATCCACCACCTTCGGTGCAGTTCTGGATATGGTGACGGATCGATGCACTACAGCTTGCCTGCTGGTGTTCCTGAGCTCTGCATGGCCACGGTGGGCGATTATGTTCCAGGGCCTGATCAGCCTCGATCTCGCAAGCCACTACATGCATATGTATGCAACGTTGACAATGGGTGGTTCGGGTCAGAGCCACAAAAAAGTCGATTCGAGCAGGAGTTGGATCCTGTACCAGTACTATAATAGCAGGGTGAGAACTATACACTCCAACAACAACAAACAATCTTATTATCCATCATCCATCCCATTTAACTAATGCTTTATGTACGCCCCACAAAACAGACCGTCCTCTTCATCTTCTGCCTCTTTAACGAACTCTTCTTCATCGGCCTCTACCTCCTCTCCTTCTCCTCGCCTACCCTATCCCCTTCCCTACTGCAACCCATTGGCGGCGAAGGAGGACTAGGAGTAGGGTGCGGCACCGCCTCCGCGCAACCAGGTTCTCCAGCACTCGCTCCACTATCCAGCCTCTTCTCCAGCCCCTGGAGCGCCGGCGCCCTCGAGCTTGCCCGCGCGAACAAGATGGACAGCTTCTGGCCATGGGTCATCACGGGTATTTCGGCACCGATCATGGCGGGGAAACAGTTCATCAATGTTGTGCAGATGGTTAAGGCTAGCCGGTGGTTGGCAGAGGGGGATTTAATGAGGAGGAGGCAGCAGGGATTGTCGTCCGGAGCTAAGAAGCGGTGATGATAAAAAGTGGTTATGTTTTGTTTTATGTTGCTGCTTTTCATCAATCGAATGGAATCGAACTTGGGCTTGTCGATTACGTTTTGGAATGGATGGGAAACACTCCTTTGTTTTGGTTCCCGCTCTGACCTTACGCGATACCCACACCGGAGAGAGTATGAGTGTGGGCTGCCAGTCTGGTTTCCCTTTCGTTCGGTCTGTATATTTTCTCTTTCTTGTTTTCTTTATTTTATATTTTATTGCCCTTGTATGGTCTTGTTTCTATTTCCATTAACCATTTGCCCCAATGGGAGTACATGTTCTGGGTAGGGTTGGGGGACCTATATGCAAAATTGAGGAGGGAAATAAAACGATGAACAACAGGTTGGGTTGACATGAGCGGATATGTGGTCCTTCTATTTCTTCTTTTTTTAATTCCTTTTTCGCATTCTTCCCATTCATTGGCTTCTTGCTTGTCTTCTTGCCTTCTCCCTCTTTGTATTTCTTAGTATCTCATTCTTTTGCAAGCAGCGATTCGATTACTCATTCGCTTTACTTATGTATTCATTTTCTGTCGAGATCCACCTCATTCTTTTTAGTTCATTTATTATTATTATTATTACTCTTCTACTTTTCTCTTCTTCTTGTATTCTGATTTCTTGACCTTGACTCCTTTTTTACTATTATTTCTAATTATTATCATTACGTTTAAAATTTCTATTTATTTCGTATCTTCTCTAGCATTGTTGTTTTTCAGCATGTTTGACCGAGTTCTCTTTCAGTTCTCTTCTCAGTTTCTTCTTTTCCTTACCCTTTCTCTTTAATATTTTTCTTATATTGTCTTTCTATTGTTCAATTTTTTTTTTCTTCCTTGTAGGTTTTGTCAAGGTGTAAAAAGAAAGCTTTATAACTCTGCTGATTTTTTACTTTTTGCTTTCTTTTATATGTTAAATTCAATCGCCGTGTTATTTCTTCTTAGGTCAATCTTACTTCACAGTTAGCCTTCATATCATAATCATGAGCAAGCCTGTGTCTCCCTGGTTCAAAGTTGTTCTCGGAATCGAATTTATCCATTATAGGTACCTAGTTCTGAGCTCCCTCACATGATCTGGCGTCAGGCACCCCTTTCCTAGATAATTTACACGCGCGCCAATCCTCCGCAACCAAAACAACATTTTCCGTCCCCGCAGCTCGAGAAAAGAGAAGGGGGATGTTCCTTCGGAATGCACAAAAATTTAACTTCCACATGAAGCCGCAATCCGTGTCTAACAATCTTTATCTCTAATGCCCCGCCACGGCCTTCGACGGGGCGCCCGCGACCACTCCGCTTTCCCGAGCGAAGACGGAGCGTCTGCCTCAACCCCCGCGAATGACCGACGACCACACCACCGCCATCCCAACTTCGAGGATCCAGTTCGCGGGGCGGCCCGGAGCCCGCGCGCGGAAACTTTTCCTGCGCATAATGCGCATGCTCGTGTGCGCAATTTGTCCATTGCTGGTGACGCTGACCTTGTAGATGCGGAGGATGAGTTAGAGGAGAGCGGGGAGGGGTTTAGTGATAATGAAGATGATGATATCGATGTTGACATTGAGGATGAAGGTGATGAGGGTGATGAAGGGGATGAAGGGGATGAAGGTGATGAAGGTGATGAGGATGAGGAGGATGAGGAGGAGGAGTTGGGAGATGAGGAGGGTGAGGAAGAGATGGAGGGGCAGGAGGGGCAGGAGGAGGATGAGGAGGATTATGACGGTAAATATATATATATTTTCTTAGACATTAGTTATTTTTATTCCGTTGAGTTTACAAAACAAAACAAAGCCCTTTCTAACAGACTTCGCAGAAAAGCACACTTCAGCCCCCATCCCCGCGAACCTACGCGAAATCTCCTCCCTAGCTTCCTGGACAGTATCAACGCATAAACCAGGCTGCGGCATCGCAGCCCTCCGCCACCCGTCCCCCTCACAATTCTGGCAATCCGACGGGCCCCAACCGCACACCCTCACCTTACACTTTTTCAAACGCGTCGCCATCGTCCGCATCCGCGTATACCTTGACTTCGAACTCGATGAGAGCTACACACCTACCAAGATGATATTTCTGGCTGGCATGGGCGGAAACGATCTTGTGGAGTTTGCGACGTGGCAGGGGGAGGCGCCTGCCGGGTGGGTGGATATTGATTTACAAGGGGTGGGAGGACGGCATGAGAAGACGGGGCGGCGGAAGAGTGGGAGCCATCAGCGGAGAGGTAATGGGACTGGTGGGAATTTTTATGGAGTGAGAGGGGGAGCGAGAGCGGCGGGGTACGCGGGCCTGGGATTGGCGAATTTTAGGCAAAGACATGAGACTCATGGTGACGATGGAATAATCGATCATGGCACAGATGGCAACAATGGCGGGAGTAGGAGTTATGAAGACGACGACGACGACGACGACGAGGAGGAGGAGGAGGAGGAGGATGATGCTGATGATGACGATGTCACCGACACGGACCCATCATCCGGTAACGTCCTCAAAGCCATGGTAATCCAAGTCCGCATCAGCGAGAACCACCAAAACGGCAAAGACACGCACGTGCGCGGCTTCCAGGTGTTTGCGCGTGATGATCGCCGCCTTGCCCGGCCACGCCGCGAGAGCGGCCGTAAGTCTCTAAGGCCCCACGGCGCAACCGGTAGCGGTGCGGTTGCTGATGCTGCGAGGAAAGTTAGGGCTGGTTCGTCTGTAACGGCGGATCAAGGGGGAGCCGCTGCGAATGACGAAGAGGTGTTTGGCCCGGCGTTTGATGAGGATGGTTGGATGGGTGAGATGGAGATTCGGTAGGAGGGGGTTGTGTGTCAACGCGCATGAATGTGCGTGTACATCTATTAATTGTATTCCCCGTTCCTGTTTGTTTCTATGCATTGCTTGGCGAATTGGGGAGGGTGGAACTATACGTAAATTGGAGTTTTACAGGTTTGGTCGAGGGTGGTTTAGGCGCATTGATCATTTGCTTTTTCTTTTCATGTTTCATTCATCCTCAGCTATGAATACCCTCGAAGCAGTCAATGTGGAAGGTGTAAAGCTTGTGTGATTGAAAGGTTGCTAGCTTTGTGAGAAGTTATATGGTGGAAGGATTAGTAAGCCAGATCACGTGACCTGACACCCCCACTCACCAGAGTAACTATACACGATGCTATATACAAAATTCGCCTTCAAATCAAGTACAGGTACAAAAAATGACTGGAAAATGTGAAGTAATGAAAAACCAGTCATGATATACATCATTTTTTATCCCCCTATCCCCCTATCTTCTTTATATTCTCTTTCCAATGCGTATATTTCAACATTCCAAGTGGTTTAGTAAGCTCATCCGCTGTGTTCTCAGCAGATGAAATATATCAGATAGATATCTCATTCTTGCAGATAAGATTCTGAAGGATGTGAAAATGAACCTCTATATGCTTTGAGTGGCGTGGAATTGCTTCAGAAGAGGATAGCTCTATGACAGACTTATTATCGGCATGGATTGTATAAGCCAGTCCATTGGCTGTGGTGGGAATGGGGTGATCATCAGCATTCAGATTGTTGAAGCGGGATGGGATGAATCCAGCATCTTCTAGAAGCTCTCGGAGACAGACAAGCTCATATGCGGCCTCAGAGGATGCAATATATTCGGCCTCTGTTGATGACTTGGAGACCCCTGTTTGCCGGCAGCTCCGCCATGCAACGGGACCACCTGCCATGTAGATGATATAACCGGTGATTGAACGGGATCCTGGATCCCTACCGGCCCAATCGGCATCTGCGTATGCTACAGGTTCAATTTCAGCACCCCTGTGATAGGTTATACCCTCATTGATTGAACTCTGTAGGTATCGGAGTGTACACTTGTACATGGCCCAGTTCTTTGATATAGGCCAGGAGCTGAATCATCCAAGGAATCCTGCGGCGAAGCTCATATCAGAACATGTATTAAATACCAGATATTGCAGAGATCTGATACTGGATTGATAGAACTGTAGAATAAATTCTGCTGTGTATACAATCAGTTTCTCATCATCATTCATGAAATCAATGTTCTTCTTCATAGGAGTGAATGTAGAATGACAGTCATTCATTGAGAACTTCTTCAGAAGATTTCTTATAAAGAGAGATTGAGATAATATCAATGAAGTTAAATCTCTATCAATCTTCATTTCTAGATAGCAGTTGAAATCCCCTACATCCTTGATCTTGTAATTAGCAGTGATTTCAGCTTTGACCCAGTTCAGGTCTTCAATTTTCAGGCTGTAGAGACAGACATCATTCATATAGATGATTATATAGATCTGTCTTCCATTGTGAATAAATAGTTCAGCATCATAGAGACTGACACAGAAGTCTAAGTGCAATAGCATCTTTTGCAGCTCTTCATATCATAAGAGTGCTGCTTGCTTAAGACTGTAGAGTCTCTGTATCAACTCACACACAAGATCACCACAGTCTTCGCGGAATTCTGTGAGTTGATTCATATATATCTGTTCATCAGCAGGCAGTTGAGTGTTCAAAAATGTGGTTATTATATCAATCTGCAGAATATATCATCCCTGAGATGCTGAGATCATCATGAGAGCTTGTGAGGTAGATGTAGAGATGACAGGTGCAAAGATTCTTGAGTAATTGACTCTCTTCTATTGAAGATTTTCACAGACAACTCAGCGGGCCTTATAGTGAATAATATCACTCATATTATTGAACTTTTTGTTAAATACTCATTGGCTGTGAAGAACACTCATTTGTGATGTTCTCTCAATCAGTCATCAGGCCTTTATCTGTTTCAAATAATTGATCTCTTTAACACAGGCCTTGTAATAATACTTTCATTTCATGGAAGCTTTGGCATGTGTGAGGTTTTTCAAGATCAGAAGTGCAGTAATCTTGAGATTGATGAATAGGTCTTCAAGACTGTCTCTCACTGAAGATTTCCTCACTGTTGATTCTCTCACTATAGTGATATCTCTTATAGATGTCAGAGAGTCATTAGATTCAACTGTGAGTTCTGAGAAGTTCAGTGTATTCTGCACTAAAAAGGTAGATATTCTTGTGAAGATATCATAGTCAATTCATCAATTATTAGTAGGTATAAGAAATAATGAACACTCAGGTTGAATTTCCTCATCAACATATAGATCAGAAATTGCTGCAGTCTCTTGACAGGCTGCAGTGAGTAGGCCTGATGTCACTGAAGAAATCACTGCAGCTGCTTTACAGGCTGTATTGAGTAGAACCTTCAGGTTGTGCATTGTAGTCAGTATTGATGAATTGACAAGATGAAGATTCTTGCGGAAGACTACATCTTTTAATATGTATAAACACTCATTGAAGGGGTCCATCAATCTATAATTGATAAAATCATTATATTTCACAAAAATCAACTCTTTGAAATGAGAAGCTATCTTATTGATGAGCTTGGAAACTATCTTCAAGAATGCTTTGCAACCTCATCAGCAAATACTGTGTGCAGAAGGTAGAGCTTCAAGCCAGGCCTTATACAGTGTAATTGGCTTTGTATTTTCAGAGCTCTCATACAATATCATTGAGATTGATATAAGGTTAAGCAGCTCTGTGACTGCAATAACTGCCTCACTTCACATCTTTTTCAGAGCTGAAGAGTCTATTAATAGTGATTGAGACTTCTCAATAATCAAACTGATTGATTGTTCAGATACTTCATCTTACTGTGAAGTATAAGAGAGAGTCAGCTCTTATTTTATATCTTCACTGAGCATATATGCTGTGGCTGCATTTGAATTCAATTCTTCACAATCTGAGTGAATGATTACAATATCATGTCTCAGCAGATTCTTGATGAATTGATTGAAGATCTGTAGATATCTCAACATCTCATCTTTGCATTTCAATAGAAATATTCACCTCATATAAGTGATATCATCTGTTATCATCATTGCAAGCTTCTTGCTGATATAAGATGATATATCATTCTCAGTTTCAAGAGTCTCATCATCACTGAATATATTCATTCAAATCTTCAAGGTCTTGCGGGTGGCATGACATGGTGTGAAATTCTTGTAGAAAGCATGTTTCTGTTTAGACTTAACACATGTGGCACAGAATGATAATTTCTTCAAGCTGATAATGATAATATCAAATCACAGGTCTCTGGTCATTTTTAATATACTATTTTCACTGATATGATCAAGTCAGTGATGCTACTCATCTATCAGAAGCTGTTTCAGAAGAACTGCAGATAATTAAGATGAAGATGAGATAACAAAGAAATCAGTATCTGAATTCTTAAGATTGATTAACTGTTCAACCTTCTCATGGCTGAAAGATCTCAAAGACTCAGCATTCAGATTGTAATCTGTTGAGATTGTCTTTGATTTTGAAATGATCACATATGTCACTGCTTCATACATTGAATTGTTCATTATCTCATGAAATGTCAGTGAAATGTTGAATAGAATGTAAATATTATTGTGAGACAGATTGATGTAGAAGATATCACTGTTGATAGATGACAGAAACTCAAAGTAGTTCTCAGCATTAACTTGCATATTATGATGAATATAGCTCTGATGTTTCATCAGCTCAGTGAAGATCAGATTTGTGAATAGCTCTGACATGTAGTATACATAATTGAATTCTATCAATCTTTCACTCACTGAGATAAATGCAGTGCTGACACTCTGAACCTTCATAATGACCTTGTTAGTCACTTAAACTGTTGAATCATTGATTGCTATAAGTTCTGAAAATCATAATCTATCACTTACTATGTGGCATTCAGTGTCACTATCTCATATAGTGAGAGAATTCTTGTAAGATTTCATAAAACAGGCTGATACATTGATAACCTCTGTGAGATTTGTCATCTGATAGGTGTCTGATTTATCTGTAATGAATAGTTGAGTTCTACTCTCACTATTATTCTTTTCCTTCTTTTTCTTGAATTTCTTTATTCTTACAGTATTGTTTATTCTTCAATTATCTGAAGCACTGTCTGAATTGATTAATTAACAGATGTCAAAGTGAGATCTCTCACAATCAGAACATGTAGGTGAATTTTCTAATTCTCAATAGTTTCAGAAGCTCTCTTGAGTACTACTACAATCACATTCAGTATAATCTTCACAGGTCAAATTTAATATATTGTTGTTGATAGTTGTTATGACTGTTGTAGCTGTTGTAGCTGTGTTAATCACAGAATCTATATTCTGCAGATTCTTTTTATCTTTTAAAGAATCAAGCTGTAAACAGATCTTCTTCATGAGAAGATCAACATTCAATATCACAGCTGTGAATTTGAAATCCTGTATCTTCTCTATCTTTTTCTGAACATAATTCCTTCAATTATTGAGTAGAACTGAGTAGAAGGTATCAAATATTCATACATCTGAGAGAGAAGTATTCAACATCTTCAATTTTATAATAATGAACTGAAACTTATTAAAGAATATATGTAGATTAATGACCTGTGTACTATTAAGAGACATGAATTTCAGAACTGTCTCACAGTGTAACTGTGTTTTAAGAACAGAGTATTTCTATTCAATTGTATTTTATAGAGTATAAGTAATCTGATTTTCATCATACTTGAAGAAATGTGATCTGATACCTGCACTTAAGAAGTTTGAGATGAATGTGTAGAGTCACTGATTTCTAACATCTCAGAATAATGCTTATTCATCATCTCTTTATAGAGAGTTCTGAGTCTGTTGTTTCTCTATTATATATTAACACTGTGCATCAACCAGTTTTGATTTCATGAAGATACTTTATATAATGTAATTGAATGTATCAGTTAGACTGTTTGATCTCACAGTATTCTTGACATCTTTCTTGAATTGAGAGATTGCCTTGCCAACACAGCTATTCAGTTCATAAAGATTGAATTTCAACCTTTCACTGAGATTAGAATTTCATGTGGCTGTTGATGTGATGATAGAATGATTGTTGATATTTTGTGATTGATCTGTGAAGAATGAGAATCTCTGTTGATGGAGTTTTTCCAGTTATAGTTTGAGTTCTAAGACTCTTTGCTTCCTCTTGTCCATCTCAAGCATCATCTTGAGATGTTTCATCTGTTGGTCTGATATTGCCTCGCCTGAACTGTTGAATTCATGAGAACCAGCTTCATCAAGCTGTCAAGTAGATCGGGGGGCCGGCCTGACTGTGTCAGGAGCTGTATTCAAACCAGCTTCAAATCAAGAGGGTGTTGCGGGGTGTTCTTCAATGGAGCTTTCAAAGGCTCCAGGAGGATGTCCACTGGCAGAGCGTGAGTGTGAAGAATCATCATCATCAACTGCAACTGATCCAGTGGAAAGGACGCGAGATCGCGAACGTGTGTGTGGGCGTGATCGTATTGAATCCGCCATCTTGATATTCGTTTATTGAATTCTCGATATTTGTTTATTGGATCCTTGCCAATATCGTTCTCTTTTTCTTGCTTTTTTGCAAATGTGGTGCGTTTTCTGCAAGCCTCTTTTTTAAGCGAGCAGTAGTATTATTGATCATCAAGATCTCAAACACATCAATACTGATAGAATAAGACAATTTTAACTCCTGATGGGCGTATCGAATGAAGCAGTAGTTCAAATAGTGAATATATTGACAAGGAATCCCGAATTGGCAGCGATTTTGCGCAAAACGGGTCTCATAACCTGTGAAAGGTGTAAAGCTTGTGTGATTGAAAGGTTGCTAGCTTTGTGAGAAGTTATATGGTGGAAGGATTAGTAAGCCAGATCACGTGACCTGACAGTCAATGGTTTCGCTTTGTTTTTAAAAACTCTCTCATTTGCAGACTTGGACGAAAAAATGGCCCATCCACAAGAAAATAATGATAAATATTACTTCTTCTAGTTCATGATAGTTCCGATCTTGTATTAGGTTACTTTGAATGCTACCCTTTTTCATTATGCTCTATTTTGTATTTACACATGCGCCAAATGACCCTGTTCATGAGGGAAAGAAAAAAACCTGTGCCCGAAACCAAAATACCAATTTTCCCAGTCGTTGTTCCCCTAGTACTTGTTTGCTCTAAAGTAAAAATTACCCTTACAAAATCTTCTCCAACTCCGCAGCAACCGCATCGCCGACCTCCTGCGTCGTTGCTTTCCCTCCAATATCACCCGTCCGCACACCAGCCTCAATGACGTTCCTCACAGCGGTCTCGATAGCCTTGGCTTCCGCAGGCCGGTTGAGAGAGTATTGCAACATCATTGCCATGGAGAGGATGGCAGCGACGGGATTCACGATACCCTTGCCAGCGATATCCGGCGCGGAGCCGTGGATGGGTTCATAGATGCCATTAACCTTGCTCTTCCCATCGGGGATCCCGCTCAGACTCGCGCTGGGCAACAGGCCCAGCGAGCCGGGGATGACGCTCGCTTCGTCGGAGATGATGTCGCCGAACAGATTGCTCGTGACGATGATGCCGTTCAGCTTTCGCGGGTCTTTCACCATCAACATCGCCGCGCTGTCGATCAGATGGTGCCCGTACTTCACCGTCGGGAACTCCTTGTCCATAATCTCCGTGACGACTTTGCGCCACAGTCTGCTCGTCGCGAGCACGTTGGCTTTATCCAAGCTCCACACGGGCAGCGGCGGGTCGTGCTGCAGTGCCAAGTGGCCCGCGAGACGGACGATGCGCTCGATTTCCGTGCGCGAATACGGTTCTGTATCAAGCGCGTAGCCGTCACCGTTGTCCTCGCGGCGTTCGCCAAAGTAGATACCGCCCGTCAGCTCACGGATGATGTTGAAGTCGACGTTGCGGCAGACTTCTGCTTTTAAGGGGGAGATATCGACGAGGGAAGGGGCGGCAAAGTTGCAGGGTCGCAGGTTGCCGAAGGTGCCCATTTCTTTGCGGAGGCGGAGGATTCCTTGTTCAGGGCGGACGGCGCCGGTGCCCCATTTCTGGATTTAAGTGGGTTAGCGTTTTGTCGTTTTCTTTATATTTAACATGCGAAGATGGTATTTTGGAATTGTGTGCGGCGTACTGGTCCTCCCACTGCGCCTAGAATAACTGCATCTGCAGCTTTGGCGGCATTTAGGGCCTCGTCGGTGAGGGCTGTCCCGGCTGCGTCAATGGCGGCCTATATGCCAATATGAAAAAGATTTAATTAGCTCTTTGTTGAAGATACAGTCTAGGAGAAGGGCCATACTGACCCCTCCAAGTAAATGGTCCTGGAAATTGAACTCAATGTCGGCTCTCTTCTTCTCAACGACGCGGAGAACCTATAACAGTATACATATATTAGGACATGTGTAAAGTATTTTAAATAGCCTTCGTCACTGGAGACATGTTCCTAAACTAAGCATCGGTTCTCGTAACCTATTGAGGGAACTATTTAAAAAAAAAGAGCATGTGCTTCCGAACGGACCTTGATAGCTTCCGCGGTCACCTAGAAACCAAATCATTAGCAACTGCACAGTACATTTCCTTATATAATGAGGAGCTCAAGGGGTCAATTCCACCTACCTCCGGACCACAATAGTCGCCGGCAAAGACGACAATGTTGTATTTCCCCATTGTGAACGGTGTAAATACCTCTGGGGCGGTTGAAGGGCGCTAGGGAGAACCTGGAAGAGGAATTGGCAGCTAGAACAATCGGAATAAGCGCGCTTCGGGAAAGCAATTGATCAATTGAGAAGAAGAAGATATCAAGCAAGGAGTAAGGAGCAGTGACAGTGCGGGATAATGAAGCTGGGAGGAAAACAAAGGCACCGGCCCGATAGGTGCAGCAGAGCCGCCCCTTCAAGTGACCCCGCGCTCCGACATCGGGATGTCCCGTGACATTGATGCAATGCTACAATACTCCGTACCTATAGATTGAATAGCTGCAAATAATTTACAACAGGAACTGAACTATAGTTACGGCTGATGGTCATCGGGTTTGAATATTGTGCAGGAGAGAATTTATTATGATTGAAATAACAAATGTGGATATCCATCACCATTCCTACATGCTTAATGTCTCCCGTCACTTACAATCAGCAAAGAGGGACTTCAGGAACTAGATCCACCAAACTTCCTTGCGGTGGGATTCTGATAGTAATGGGCCAAGCGTCACGTTCATACTATCAATTGATGGATATTGCTGGCCTTCAGTTGGTTCAGTTCCGTAGCCTCATGCTGAAGGATTTCAGGCGCGCTATTCAGCTCCGCGTCTACATGGTCTACCTACCACCTCTACCAACAACAATCGTTCAGCTGTAAGGATTCTTATCCGATGCTCATTGTGATGTTGGGAGTGAAATCAAAAACAGGACGTCTGTCTCCCTTCCACGTTACTGGGAGAGAAGAGAATAACTCGTGAATCGGCAAGTGGGTTACACCCGGCGCACGAGACGTGATGCAAAGGGGGGTTTATGCTGGCTGTTTAGGGGCTGGATTGTGGGGTAGGGGGATCAAGATATGGGAACTTACGTAGTAAGTCGATGTCTAAGGATAAGAATGAAAGGACCAGTGGAAAGGGAGTTAGCTAATGGACGTGATCTCAATTATATAACTAACTGGTCTAGTTATTTTGAATATTATTATCAATTATTTACTTACTAATTATAACCCTTTTTATGCTCGTGGGGTACCTGTAACATGGATATCAATTGACCTGTCTTATGACGCCTAGACAAAGAAATTTAAAAAATAAAAATAAAAAAAAATAAAAAATAAAAAATAAAAAAGGAGAAAATCGCTAAACAAGAGCCACAAGATGGACGGCATAAGACGACATATTAAACGTAGAACACATTAAGACCTTAACTCCAATTCCTCACCTAGCACCTCTCTCGATGATATGCACCGATTACATCCAATGCCAAACGATCCTATCTCCTCCTCAGCCTTGGATCCGTCGCCTCCTCCCTCCTCCACTCCCTCATCTCCCTTGTCCCCATACTCCCCAAACCTCCCTCAATTCTCCTCTCCCACCCTCCCAGCCTAATAACAAGACACGTCGCATTATCCCCATCAGCCCCCACCTCGGTTGCAAACGCCACAACATCCCTCGCCCCCTCATCTGGCGTCCGCGCTTCCTTCACCACATCCACGACCTCCTGGTCAGACATCGCTCCGCTCACCCCGTCCGTCATCAGCACCAGGAACGAGTACTCTGCCGGCCCCATCTCCACGCGCCGCAGCTCAGGTTCCGCAGACACCCCGATCCGCTTTGACCGCATGTCGCCAAAGGCGCGCGTGTTGGCGAGCCCGCTCATGCGCTCTTCGCCGAAGGAATCCGTGACGAACGTCGCGGCGTAGCGGCGCAGCCGATTTCCTTCGATCGGGGAGGAGGGGTGGTGGTCTGTTGTGAGCGGGATGGCGAGGCCGGTTGTGGTGGAGCAGAGGAGGATGCGGGTGTCACCGACGTGGGAGACGACGAGGGAGGATGGGGCGGACGGATTCCAGAACGGGGTTGGGCTTGGGGTGGAGATCATGGCGATGCTGGCTGTGCTGCCGCCTTTGAAGCGGGTGGGTCCACCGATGACAGGGTATGGGGATCGGCTAGGGTGGTGGAGGATGTCGGCTTCGTTGAGAGGTTTTTCGGCCTGGACGAGATCGTCCTCGTCCTGCTTGGCAGCTTGGGCGTAGATGAAATCGAAGTCTGCTTTTAAAAAGGCGTATTAGAGTAGTTCTTCGATTGTGGCACCGCTGTGTGCGTTTGATGCGTGGTGCTCACCAGAGTAGGCGAAGTGTGGTGGGCGAAATCGTCGATAATAGCCCCCTACTAGATTCTTCCAACTGAATACCAATTCCTTCTCCAGCTCTCCGATTTTCTGCCTATTAGCCCGCTGGATAATGGGCAGGTCACCTTGTAGATGTAATGTCTCTCTCTCCTTGCTGTTATGTGCTGAGCCATCACCATGACCCTCCATTTTCCCGTCCCTCTCTACAATAGAGCTACGGGGCCCCTTCCCCAAAACCCTCTCCCCAGTCTCAATCTCCTTCTTCAAACTCGACTGCATCTCAAAGTCCACAGCCGCATCCTGCACATACTCATGCAGACAATCCCTCAGAAATTCACTACACTCAGCCCCACCATGTCCATCAAAAACCCCAAAATAAAACACCTGCGGGTCTCCACTCGCACTCTCCGCCCCCTTGTTCTGGTCCACGACCCCTCCCTTCTCCCCACCGGCAGCAGCAGCCTTCTCCCCCCTAGCAGCCGCCGCCGCCGCAGACCGTGCCCCAATCGTCAATGACAGTGGTGCCCGCCGCGCAAAGGCTGGTATATCAATCACGCCCGCCTGATATGTATCTTCATTGGTGGGCCGCGTCCCCCGTGCAGCGCAGACGCCGAAGTGGTGCTTCGCGCTACGCAGCGGGATGCGAACCACGGTTGTTTCGCGCGAGACGCCGATGGGTGGCTGCACGGTGGCTGGGGAAGGGCCCCGTGCTGCACTGGCGGTGTGCGGTGTGGAAGCTGACCGGGGTAGCTTGTGATGAGGTCCTGGAGAGGCGCGGGAGTCCGGGTGTAGAGAGGAGGATGGGAGGTGGGTGACGAAGTAGTCGTGGAAATGGCGGCGGGAGCGGTCGTAGGCTCCATCATGTTGCTGTCGGCGCTGGTTGTATTGTGAGTGCTGGGGCTGCTGGAGTTGAGGTTGGGCCTGAGGGTGCGGCTGATGTTGGGGCTCAACATTGGTGCTATGGTGACGGCGTAGGAAAGTCGCGATGAAGCCTGAATTTGAGCACAATGTTTGGTTAGCAGGGGTTCTTTCTAAAGAGCTAGCTGCCTGTCGTCTGTGAAAAGGAAAAATATTTTTCACACAGAGGCAGGGGAAATGCAGGGGATATTTTAGCATTTCAAACGTACTGTAGCTGTCAGCCAGCGTCCAAGCGCGCACAGTTGCACGCTTTACTGCACCGGGGTTCATTTGAGCAACGACATCGACGGCGAGGGTGTGGTGTAGAGATAGAGATATGAGGAGGAGGAAATGCGGCGGGATTATGGGCTCTGTATTATTTATTAATAATAGTATTAGAAATAACTAGTTGGTGTCTTGCCGGATTTCCGTTTATGGACTGGTGGTGTCTTCTAGTTTGCTCGGAAGGAAATAAAAAGTTGCAATGTTTTGTTGACTTGATTTGTCTCTATCTAAGCTTTGTTCCGTGATGGTTCTAGTTAACTTACTTGTTTGGGCAAAAGGCGTGTTGCAGATAGAATATTTATGAGGACATGCCACAGTAACGTAACTACATATTTATACGTGTTCTCCAAAACGAAGGGCAAAAATAAACAAAAAATTCCAAAATAAACTAGAATGAAGCCAAGAAGAAACCTCCCAACAAAACAAGAACAGGTTAACCTTGGCCCATGTCACTGCTAGGCCACACAATGTCACTGCAAGGCCAAGTTGCGGTGGGGAGATACTTGGCTTGTGGCTGGAGAACAGAACATCTCCACTCTCAGGCGGGGGAGAAGTGAGATTGAGCAATAAATAATTACAGATGTTCCTTGTCACTGTACGGAGTATCCAGGATTAAAACACAAACTTTTTTTTTAATATTTTTACCTATTTCTTATCATACAACAAGGGTGATTGGACAGCAACGACAAAATTACTAACGACAAAGCTGATCGATCCACTCGATATCAAGTGCAGCGTACATGTAATGTACAGCACCTGCGCCACCAGTCAAGGTGACGATGTTTCGCAATGAAGATCATGGCATAGCCGTGGTAGAGAAACGGCATTCAACAGGGCAAGTGCAGGGGTCTGGACTTGAACATCGAGGCCGTGAGAAGAGAATTAAAAAGAAACAGAGCACAGCGACGATACATTAAGCAAATGGGGAAGCCTGAAATATTGGCACGTCAACATCGGATACCCAGATGGATAGATATATCCCGTGTCAAATCCAGATTTTGAAAAATACACGACGAGAACAATTATTGCGATTTGGCACAAGGGGGCCTGGAAATTCAAAGAAAAACAAAAAGCGGGACAAGGGAAGGTGGAAAATGGTTGATGCATCCAACGGCCTAGAGAAGACAAGAAAAGCAATCCTACCCACAGCACCAGAATACCAAATTAGAACACATGGCCAACTTCTGAACACATTGAACGAGGGTAGTCCAGCCTGGCTCTGGATCCAAGGATAAATTGCCAACCATTGCCATCCATTCCCCTAAAACTCCGCATCGTCATTTCGAATATCTCGCCGTACCGTATGGTACGGTCGACGAAATCGAAACCCCAAACCTCAGACATTACCTGCAGCAGTGGCAGCATCCATCGCGGGCGAAAGCACAACAAGCCCCATATTAACAATCTGCATCGGCTCATTCACTGGCGTAGCATTATTACGAAACCAGATCATCGGCGTAACGCTCAGCTTAACGCGATGGCCCTTCTTCATCAGCGTCTGCGGGTCGCGCCCAACCAACGCCGTGTCCCGATGAAACATCGAGTGCGCATCGAACAGGTCGCCGACGTCCGCGAAGTGGAGCTGGAACTCGTAGGGGCCCGAGAACATGGTCAGGGCGACGCTGTGCGCTTCTTCGATGATGCTGACGAAGTCGGTCCAGATGTTTGGGTGGTTGCGCTGGACAAGCGGGGAGATTAAGCGGAAGAGAGTGGTTGCGTGCTCGTTTTTGCGCTTGTTGTAGAAGCTTGCAAAGAGGGGTTTGTTGCGGATGCGGTTTACTTGGCGGCGCATGGCTTCGAAGAGGAGGGCGCGGACACTTGTCGGGGCGTCTGGAATATGATTTAAGTATTTAATATTGGTAAGGAGAAGGGGAAGGGGAAGGGGAAGGAGAGGAGGGCGAGAGATTATATATCTGAGGGGAGGAAACATTGAAGAACAGACATACCAGGATACAAGAGCGTCATCATCTGCCCGATTTCAGAGTCGGCAGTGGAATCGAAGCCCTTAACAACAGATATGCGAAGCACCTTGCTGGTAAGATACAAGTTAATCGCCTTGGTCAGGAGCACGAAGCGCGTGGTTGTGTCTGTCAGAAGAGTAGACACCGAGTCTGGATGCGAAGCCTGCATCAAGTGCATCATGGTTTCCGAACCAATCGTGTTGTTGGGGTCCGCATACCCGGTTGGCGAGTTGATATACCGCTGGCCGAAGGCTTCGGATTTCTCGAACAGGGAATGGAACTTGTACCCAAAGTCCATCGCGCTGAGGTTGGTCTCCTCCATGATCATCATGCCTTCAGGTGGGTTCCTGGGCAGGGAGGATAGAGGGACGGGTTTCTCCTCGGCAGCAGCCTGGGCCCCAATGGGGGGTACAAACGCATTCAAACGGTCGACTGCAGACATGGTGGGAACCGTAGCAGCGGAACTGGCATCAGCTGCGACATTTGCAGTAGCTTGATTATCCCCTGCAGGGTTCGGGGTAGGCAGATCCCCAAGCCCAAATTTGGGCGGCGGGTTATTGAAGACGTGGCGATAACGCGAGACGCGAGTTGCCTCCTGGCCATTCGCCAAGTGGTGCTGCGGAGTAGTGAAACTAAACGACAGCGCACGAGGCTTGGGCTTGGTGGAGGTGGGAGCAACCGTCTTGCTCTGAGCGCCGATGGCCGGCTTCTGCTTGTTGACGATGGCTTCCAGCTCTGCAATTCGGTTCTCCATTTTGCGGATCGCGTCGCGGTCACGCTGACCAGCGGCACGGGCTTCGTCCAGTTTGCCTCTGGTATGCTGAAGATCCATTTCAGCTGCGTTGAGCATCCCCTGGAGCCGGTCGATGTGATACCTCATGGCATCATAGGTCTCCGCCTGGTATGCACCAGACGCGTTGGGTGCCATGTAAGGGGGTGGAGGGCCCATCATCTTGTTTTGGCTAGAGAAGGGGCAAGCTTGTCAGTGGACTAGGGGCGTCAGCAGCGTTCAGAATGACCGCTTGGGGTCGATAGCTGGAATTGACACCGGAAGAAACGCGGATAGGATACAAATATAGCTTGAAGACACGAAATCAATCGAGGGCAGAGGTTGTAAAGGAGGGAGATATTCTTGATTCAGACCACACAATCAAAGACAGAACTCACTCTTTGTTGTGAAAAGGAGAACAGCTAAGAAAGAAGACAGTTATGTGTCTTGCAGTAATTGAACTAGTCAAGGAAATGTGATGGAAAGACAGTGGAACTAACAATTGCTTAACCAGTGTCAAGCAAGATATCAAAGAAGCAAAGAAGAGATGAGATGAGATGATGTGTTAAAGAAAAAGAAGATTCACAGATGACTGACAGATCTGTGTTGTTTGTTATGAAAACAGAAAGATGCGGTTGATGAAATATTGTTGGCTGGTTATCAACCGCATTGGATGTTTGTATTCTGGCATGCGTGTAAATATCATGATATCTGCAACTGTTGGCGTGGGAAATAGATAGTCGCCAGGGGAATTCAGAAACGTGCAAGCGGATCCCCTAGTGACCTTCATAATTATTGCTAAGAAGATGCAATGAGAAAGCAAGTTCATGGGAAGAGATAGCTTATAGCCTTTGCTGTAGATGGTAGGAGAAGAAGAATTGGACGAACGATTAAGAGAAAGGCAGGATAAACTCGATGTGATGGGCAATATCAGGAGAGAGAAAAGCCATGTTCGCTGATATACAGGAACCTCAAAGAGGTGATGTTGTGTGGAATGTCGGATGGTTTTCAGAACATGATAGAAGGACTGGATAGGAAGTAAGAAAGGTGGATAGTAAATAAATCAATTTGGAAACATGGTAATTTGTAACAACGCCCCAGGGCTGAAAATGATGCTCTAGCTACTTGCACTCTGCAAGAAAAAAAGACTATTTGAATCAATGCCACAGATGTCACAATAAAAATGCAAATAATATGTACTCGCAGAAAAGACACAACACATACCACTGGTGGAGACCATGTCCTCGCCCTGTATTGGAAAGCATCGCTGGAATGCCATGTGTGTAAGAGAGGGTGAGGTTCCCGCTCGTTTCGGGAGGGGGGGAGGGGGGGAAATGGGAAGACAAGGTCGATGGCCCTAGACAAAAGTTTGTCAAGGCTATCTCTGAAAAATACACCTACCCTCCATTTTTCATCCTTCCTCTCATTATATTTATGTTTGTTTCTTTTTTCAGGTTTGACCTAGTAGTATCCGTAAGTGACTAAACTCAGATCGCTTTGGTACGGGAAAAGAGGCTGCTGTAAACCGCATCAACCACGGGCTGCGCGCTAATCTGTCTCCCTCCGAAAAATCGTCCGTTCAGGCCCTTGATGGCATTCTCGCCGCCCTGGACTCGGTCGAACTTGAGATATATATCTCCTTGGGTATTCGGGTCTAGTGCAATGTGAACAACATGGCCGTATTTATCTTCGCATTCGGCGCGCACGTCGTCTTCCAACTCTTTGACCCAGGATTCACCCTCTTCCCTAAACGAATAGTTAGCATAGAATCAACACATTTGATTGCATTGGGTAACGGGAGGGAATCGTACTCAGCAGGGTCAAACATATTCCTGAGCAGAACACATCTGCTTGCCATGTTCACGCTCACGGGCAGCGGCTTAGCGTTTATTTGCGGTTTGGGTACTTTACGTTTTTCGTCTGGGGTCGGCTCGACAGCAGGTTCATCTGTTCTCGCAAGTTTCCTCATCAATGCGTCTCTGCTATAATTGTTGAAGTTCACACCGGCAACATCCGTGTCATCTAGGGCGCTGGCACCGCCTGCCGCCTTGTCATTGTCTCTGCCTCCAGCTCGGTCAAAGTGACCGGAACCGCCGGCTTGAGCTCCACGACCACCATGGCCAGAGAATAACGAACCCTGGAAGTTATGATGGGCACCCTGTCCCTGGAATCGCTGCAATAAATTGGCGGTCGATTCAGGGGTAAACTTATCATTACCAAGACCAACCCGAATTGGGCGACCAGCCAGGTCGAATCCATTCATTTTTTCCAAAGCTTCTCGAGCTTGGTTTGGATCGCGGAACCTGTATATTTTTATTAGCAAGCAAAGAAAAAGAAAAAATGCAGGAAGAGCTGGGAATGGTTGATACATACTGGACGAAGCCATAACCCCTGCTGCGGCCCCCTTCTTCTTTTTGTAGCTGGACAAAATCAAGTTCGCCAAATGGTTCGAAAACTTTCTGTAAATCGCTTTCAGTGATGCTGAAATGGATATTACCAACGTACAGCCTGTGGAACGGAATCGAATTTTGGTTTCCGCTAGCGTTGGCCTCGGGATTGCGGGCCTGTCTGTTTTTCTCGGCTTCGGTTAGTTGAGCAATAATAGGAATCCCTAGAAGCTTTTGGCCAGTAAGCTGGATGGCAAGTGGGACCGATTCTTCATCCTTGAATTCGACATAACCGACGCTGCATGGAAAATTAGCAAGGTTCTTTTTATTTTTATTTTTATTTTTTTAATACAAATTGTATAGCGGGGAAAATAACTCACCCTTTCGATCTCCCGCTCACGCGATCCTTCACAATCTGAGCTTCTTTGACCGGTCCGACTTTCTCGAAGAAAGCAATGAGCTCTTTCGTTCTCAAGCGGGCGGCAAGCTGCTGCACAAAAACGGTTCGTCTATCGCGTTCATCTTCAGTAAGTTGGGGTTCAGGAGTCCTGCTGCGGCGCCTGCCAGAACTGGGACTTCTTCTACGGCCATCCCTATCGCGCTTGCTAGAGCGTCTATCCTCGTCACGCTCGTCCCGACGGGAGCGGCCGGTGGGTCTATAGTATCTGTCGTCGTACGGCGATCTAGAGCGGGAACGTGTAGTCCGGCCAGGCCCGCGATAGTAGTCCCCGCCCGACGATCGATACGGGTCGTCGCGGTCACGACGGGAGCGGCGTTTTTCGCTATCACGGCTTCTGCTTCTCTTTCTGCTTCTATGGCTCCCGTTAGCACTTGCGCGATCGCTCTTTGGGCTTTTCATTTCCTCGTCTCCATCGGCATCTTTCTCATGGCGGCGTTCCCGGCTTCGGTCTCGTCGCTTGCGCTCTCTATCGCGATCGCGGTCGCGACGTTCACTTCTAGAGCCGCTCGATTCATCGTGGCTTTTATCTGGGGTCTCTTCAGCTGGCTGAGGGGGCTCGGCGGGAGCGGCTGTGGACTCAAGCAGAGCCTCGACATCGATACCTGACATGGCGAAGATACGTTGAATATGGCTGGCCCTCGGAAGGAAGGGGAGATGTAGGAAGAATTGTTCACTTTTATCCCGTTAGAGAGGAAAACGAGGAGAGTTAGGCGAGCGAACCCTTCTTGAACTAAAGCGCTATACAAAGGCAAGCCCTAACAGTCCTCCTATAACAAAATTCGATGGGTTTTCGAATGATGTAGGTGCTATGAACGGCCCTTACTGTTGGTCTGGATGGATGCTGTCTTGTTTTGACGTTATCGTTGATATGCAGAAGTACGGAGTACGCGGCTGATTGAAGTTTAAGATACAGGATCTCGGTCATGTGATATAGGTCGCCACCTAGCTCGGATTATGTAAACCCAGCATCGCCAATTATTAATAAGAACCGAGAGAGGCGCAAATCATTTTCTGCTATTATTGGCAACATACAGCGTAGATACCATATGTGTCATATATATTGACAACCGAGAGGAATTCATACATGGACGTAAAAATAAGACGAGTTGAAAATCCGAAGATGTTTATTAATGCGCATTATTTTACGCGTTCCTCTTTTCTAAAATACAAAACCATCAGGTCCCCATAAGATCTCATGTAACTAGCCCTGTCCAACACAACCAGACCGTACTCCGCCAACCCTCCGCCAACCCAAAATTCCGCTTACTACACGTAGACAGCAGTTTGTCATCAATTAATCACTCTCTATGCTCCATTTGCCTGTCTACTAAAAACAGCTCTAAGATGCGGGCGGGATATAAGAGCGAACAGCAAATGTGTCGAGAGCAAGGACAAGAAGCAGAAACGAAAAAGAAAGTGGAACAGAACTCAGAGCTATAAGAAAAATGTATCCAGCCATTAAAGTAGGTAGAAGTAGAAAGTAGAGGGGGAGAATCCCCCCAAAAAAGGACGGAAGAAGAAGACGAAGGAAACTGTACAACATAATACAGGAGCATTTGTGCTAGTAGCAACAATGCGATGTGTAAGGGCCCATGGGGGGAATAATATGATTGGATCTCGAGCATATACATATATATACCAACTAGATAACTCAGAAGAAGAGGTGGAAGGGAAGAAAAGGCTGGCGGTGAGCTGGATACAGTAATTGTACCATCGAGAGTATGCGCGCAAAAAGAGGGCAACGTTTGAAATTAAAATTAGAATTAGAATTAGAATTAAAAAAAAAAAAAAAAAAAAAAAAAACTCCTGACCAAAAAAACCCGGTATGTGAACGGAGTGGAAATCATCTTTGTCTGAGCCTTTATAGAGGCGACGCGACTTTAATTAATTTGAATATGTGAGTTGTGTTGAGGAATTCATTCGACCTTCACGGGTTGGAGAGGCGGGAGTTCTGTTCCAAACACCCTGTCCCAGAAGCGGCTGGTGACGCCAAAGCCATTTTCGTAGTCTGCAAAATGGTGTTGGAGGTGGTATTTTTTGAGTTGTTTGTAGTAAGATGGAAGACTGTAAGGAGGGCGGCGTGAAAGAATTAATTAACGTGTAAGACTTTTGTTAAAAATAAATAAACGGGAAACTGGGGGAGAATTATGAACAATAATAAAATAGAGCAAATACATACCTGCGATGGTGGAGGAAATAATGTGTCATGTCATAGCAGACATATCCGAATACTCCTCCCGAGAAGACGGTCACGGCTGCGTACCAGTTATAGAAAAACACCGCCTTTGAGATATAGTAGAAGGGTGTTGCCAGTAGGACGAATAATGTTGGGGGCATGACAAGGCGATATTTGTCCATGGGGAGGTAGTGGTGGATACCGTGTAAAAGGAAGTGTAAGCTAATTCCAACGCGATTATCGGGTAAATATCTATTTTCCATCCAGTTAGCAATTGGAATTTATATATATATATAAAGGATCGCGGGTAAATGAAGAGAAGTTCAATTGGAGTTTTGCATACCCATCGACATGGAAGAGACAGCGATGCAGGCCATACTCAACCAGAGTCCATATGCACAGACCCAAAACCCAGTACGCAGATCCTATGATATAATTTTGCAGGCCAGCGAAGCCCACAGCCGTTCCGTAGGCAACCGCCGGATACCAGACCGATGGAACCACCCACCACGCAGTCTTTGTCAATGGCTCGAGAAAATTTCCAAACAGAGGAGCGGATTCCCCGCCCTTGTAGTGTCGTGGGCGATGGACCTGTTGTAGATAGAAATCCTTGGTGAAACCACCGTACCACAGCTGGCCAAACAGTGGCCGGTTCAGATCGAGGAACTTATGTGTCCGATAATCCGCGGTTAGGTCGGTTTCGACAGTGAGATCTTCCTCACTTGACATGCCTGTGGTACTGTACGTCGGTATGCGTCCGTCGGTCGCTCCATCCACATTTAGGCCGTTCATCTTGGAGGCAGGGGCAGAATCCAGGAAGCCAACATGGTGCTCCTCTAGTATCTCGTATGCAGCGTCAGAGTGGTTGTGGGATGGGATGTCGCGCATGATCTCAGAAACGTCCTGGCCAGCATAGTCCAAGATCAGGTCACCTCCGCCGGGATGATCGTTGACGAAGGAGGTGACATCGTAGACCTTGGAGCCTCGTGTTACGTAGCACGATTTGGCAGTCGAATGTGATCTGAGGTCGGCTGTAGAAAAGATAGGCAAGGTTTTCCCAGGCATGATGGATGGGAGGGGGTTAGAATCTGAGGGAGGGAAACCGAGACAGGCGCACGAAGGTAGTAGGGGGACCACAGTCCAGCGAGGTAAAGAGAGACTTTGGCATATAGAAGCAAATATCAGAGCCAGAGAGGGAATCCGGACTATCCGCAGAGATGCGACGCGGGAGTGGTGATGAGGAGGAGGATATGACGGGGGAGAGAATGAGGTGAAGATGCGTGACGATGCAGTGAGGAATGCTTGACCAGGACGATCCGCTCCCAAGTTCCGGCGTGGGCTGACCAGAAAAGGCTTGGCTTGCAAAAACCGAACTGCTGCATCCAAACTACATTGTAAACTTACTGCGTATGGTAGTTATGTACCAGGGCCCAGGGAAATGGGCGACAGCAAAAAAGAAAAAAAAAACAAAAGACGAAAAAAAGCAAGGGGTAATTCTCCGGGTGTAGGGGGGGGGAATTGAATGAATACAGCCAGGCGCAGGAGGATATTTGGTTCAAAGGCACAGACAGCTGTATAGAAGTATAGAATGCAAGCAATAACTATACGCTGTGTACTTTAACTATACTCCATACAGCAGCACAAAAAGCATAACTAATAAAGGGCGAGTGCGTTTGACAGACTCTCTCCATTATTAACTAACCACTCTGTACAGAGTACATGACATGGCTTTGACTGGACTTGACATAAAATTACTAGTTGTTACATTACTTGCTACAGCTGGGGAGCTCCCCAACTCCTCGATTGCAGCTCAGGTGCTACTTTTACATTTGACCCCCTCTACAGCTGGAGATTAATTAGCCTTCCCTGCTACATAACTATAAGGGGAGCAGCAACCTATCCACTGCGCGTTCCCTCCCCTCGATCCAGCGGGCAGTCAGTAAAAGGGGAACACAGATCTACGCCCCCCACCCTTCCTCCCAGCTGCCAGGAGGAACGTCAGTCAGTCAGTCTTTTGTCTGCATGGAAAATCACTACAAACAAAGGCTATCAAAAGGAAATTGCAATACGATGGTCATGGGGTTCTTGTTTTCTTCTTGCGGTCCCCAGTTGAGGAGACAGGCATATGCATGTAGCCGACCAGCAGTTGCAAGCCTTACATATGCCATGTACGGAGTAGCTAGGGAGTCACCGAGTATAATCATGAGAATGAAGGGGGAGAATAGATTTTGCTGTCTTTTTGCTGTTATCAGACACCGGGAAAAAAAAAATTGAAAATTGAAAATCGCCCACAAGGGACCCTCATTTATTGCTCCGAAAGTTCGAAATGTCTCCAACAATATTCGTAGACCAACAGAGTACAGATTACTTGTCTCATATTCTACTGTGGAATTATTCATCCAACGTTCCGCTTGGTTCTGGGAAAGCCTGTGGCTTGGTTGGAACTTGAAGCCTATGCGCTGGTCGCATCAGCTCTATCCGTACAATAATGAGCTTGGGTGGAATATCACTGATGTCAATGACCTCATCTAGCATTGGATAAAAGGAGAGACAGGCACAGATCAAACTGGATGAATGGAAGAAGTCATCGCGCCAAAACTTTCTTTTCTTCGGCCTCTCAGAGTCTCTGAGAACGCTAAAAAGAAAAAAGAAAAAATAGAGAGAGAGAGACTTTCGGCGTCGACTGCCCAACCTTGATCAGCAAACCGTTATGGGCAAACCGTGGTCTGTCAAGCCATCGCCTGCAACCTCTGCGTCTGCTTGACAGTTGTATCTTTTTTGGGCGTCTAGCCTGCGTCCGGTCGAGGGATCCATCCACTCGTCCTCGTCGGTCGGTCGGTCGTTAGTGTAAGTAAAGTAGTCCAATCCATGTCAACGGCTCAGCGGAAGGAATTCAAGCCCTCTTTGAAATAATTGAGAAAGATTCTTGACATCTTTAAAACCGTGCGGGAGTTGCTATGTACTGTACAGTTCCATGTACCCGTGGACATGTTGAGACTTTGAATGATAATATATATATATATTTGTTAAGAAAAAAGGTCCCCCTGGAACTACTTCCAGCTGTTGTTGATCGGCTTGGGGTTGGCGCGAGATCTCCAGTTTTCTGCTGCATATCAGACTTCAAGCCTCGAAAAGAAAACGACCTGCCAACTGTTAACGGGCCTGCTTCCCGTGTGGGGGGCCCTTGGAGCGGGAATCATCATTATTATTGATGATAATTGTGGATTGAGCGCTGAACAGCCGCCAGAGAGCCAGTGGGTGGCCCCAGCAGTCTAAAGCCTAAATGCCAACGGACAAACAAAAAATAACTTAATTAATTAATAATTTACGGAGTACAGAATTTTACAATAATAGGCATAGCTTGGTAATTGATTTTTCATTAATTAATACATAAAAAACAGGGATTCTTATTGCACAGTACAGTACTCCGTACAGAGTAAGTAGTTATGTGATGAATATTGAATATCAATGTTCTATGCCCCTCCCCGCCCTCTCTCAAGAGAGTCAAATCTACTATCTCTATATCTCCCAAATAATTCTCATCGGCTCAAGGATCTCACTCATTCTCATTCTCTTACAGATTCTTCATTGAGACTGACAGTAGTAGAACAGAGTCTTTTGGCACCCCCCAGAGTAGCTAGATAGTGGAATAGAGAGAGATAGCACTGCTGCTCTCTACTTTACTATGATAGGCTCTACTCCGTACAGCAGACCTAGGTAAGAAAGAGCCTAAGATTTCCAGTTTTTTTACGTATTAATAGAAAAATCAATCACTGAGTGAGTTAAACTCAATCCTTTTTAGCAGGGTGTCCCTATCAAAATGTAGGGTGTCCGTATAAATCCCCGTCCCGAGGGGCGGCCAACTTTCAAGGAGAACATAAGTTACCAGCCCACAGCCTAACTCGAATCCTGGGACCAATTAGCCGAGTCGCACGGCAGATAGAGTTATGCGGAGATCGATGTACAATCCAGGCGGGTTTGGAATGTCGCTGCAGACAGTCCAGCAAGACGTTGCTATCAAGCCGCGGAATTGGAAGAGGGCCGCTGCCACCGATTGGGTTTGAAGCTGGGATCCAGAAAGGCTGATAGCGCCACGTCCGCAGCCGCCGCTGTAGCAATCCTGTCGCCGGCGATGTGTCCTCTTATTTTTATTTATATTTATTTATTTATTTATTTTCGCCCCTTCCTTCGCCTCCTCCAGCCCGCCCCAGGAATAACTTCCCTCAAGCAGCCGGGAATTGTGATGAGCTGCAGGTTCCCACACTAGCTGTGCCACCGCATCTAAGACCTTCATGGTTGGCCCTTGGGCGAAGCATTCAAGGGACAGGAGGGGGAGCCAGGGCTGATGGATGGGGAGGGGGGCGATTTTCGAACTAAATATCCTGAGCCAGCAAGCCAGCCCGCGATGGCTGCTGGTCCTGGGTCATTTAGGCTGCGGCCTGCGACCAACCGCCCCTCGCTGCGGATTTTAAAAATTTCTTTTTACTAACTATTCTATTCGTCTTGCGACTTGTTCCATCTAGTTGCGCGTTTTAGTTTTCTATTTTATTCGACTTCCAACGCAACCTTTTGCTTGTTCCTTGATCTAGTTTTGTATTTTCTTTTTCTTTGACCTTTTCACAAGATCAAGCTCCAACTACTCGAAAAAGTTAAGGGACGAAAGGTTGCGATAATCTCAAGAGAAGAAGACAAAGGGAATAAATACCACGAAAGTTTGCCGCCCCCGCTGGCAGTTGTTGAATACCCACTATTTCGCGGGCCAGACTCCCCAAAACCCAAGCGGTTGGGGCCGCTTCGTCGATCGCGGACAGGTCATACTTGTAAATCTTTCTGGCTGTTGAAACACGTCCCAAAATACTCTGTACTCTCGCTGCGATCCCCGAAAACAAAAGGAGAGGGATTCATTGCTCTGAATGCCTTAAAAGCGACGTCAGATTCCCTCCTCATCAATTTATATCGCCGAGCCTAGCGAATTCGTTGGCACAATTAAAAAAACCCCTAACCACAAGATGGACCCTCAAGCCCAGGATGCCTCGAGCAACTCGATCACATCATACCTCCGCCTCCTGAGACGGTGCAAAACCACTCTCCCATACGGGCACCTTATATGCGTCTCCGCCTCCCCTAATATAAGCACAATGGCCGCCCTTTTACGGCTCGCGCGTGCTGTCGGTCCGTTTATCGCAGTACTACAGGTGCACGCTGATATTATTGATGACTGGTCACAGGACGCCGTGCGGAGACTCTTCTGTGTGGCAAAGAAGTATGGATTTTTGATTTGGGAAGGGGGCCGTGTCTTGAATGTCCAGAAGCGCTCGGGGAAACATCAGGGTATGTCTAGCGAGGAAATCAATAGGGACATCAACTTGGCGCGAAAGCGCTATACGAAGGGTCTTGTCGGCGTGGCAGCTTGGGCAGGAATGGTTAGCACCTGGGTCATGGGGCCGGAGGAACAGGGGAAGGGCGGTGATCGTCTGGTTCCGACGTTGCGAAGGGCTGCGCGGGAAGCGGTTGCGGTTCTGAAAAAATCCGTTCGCACTGAAATCAGCGGTGGGAACAAGCAGAGGGATGCATGCGACAATGACGGCGAAGATAGTAGCGGCGGTTGCGTTGATGATGAAGACGATGAATGTCTAGGTAGTGACGACAAACTTGGAGATAACCTGAGCACCATGTTCCCCTCCCCCCGGAAAGGTTCAGTGATATCCCTCACTCGCACGATTACCCAACACACGGAACTTTCGACTTCTGAGCTATTCGCTGGAGTGGTGGGCCCTTGTTCAGATGACGAGGAACAGACCAATGCCGGAAACGCTCCCACTTCTCTACCATTACCCCCTCCACCTCTCCACGCCCGCGGTCTGGTACTGTGTCTTCCAGCAACAGATGACCCGTCCTTCTGCCACGAGTATAGACGAGCTAGCATCGCCACTGCAGAAGCCCACAGCGACTTCGTCGTCGGCTTCGTCAGCAACGAGTCATGGATCGAGGCGTCGCAGACCAGCACCATCATCGGCTCCCGATCCAACTCCCATGAAGATGACGCAGATAGCGAAGAAGGCGAGGACGGAAAAGGCTCCTCAGAACCGCCATACGTACTCTTCGCTCCCCTCGAAAGCGACCATATTCTATTCCCCGGCTCAGAGAGCATAACCCCCCCCGCAATGGACGAGGTTACGCAGGCCCATGCGGACAGTGTCCAGGTATACGTTAATGTCAACGACGATGCTGCGGGGGAGCCATCGCAGCAGCGATGTTCCAACTTTCCGCTATCTCTCCACCAGGCAGACACTTCTGAAGTCCAACACCGGCAAATCAACACGCTGCACCAGCTGATCGGCAGGGCCATTTCCATCAGGAACGCGAAGGCTAGCGTGAATCATCAACGACAGGATTCTGAGGAAGGTGACGCAGAGCTTCTGTGTATCCCGATTATTTCGATGAATGCCTGATGAATTTTCTTCTTTTCTTTTTCTTTACTATGCCCTTCTTCTCCCACTTCCTTTCCATCTCTTGTTTCTGGAGTCCTTTTCACCCAACCCTCCCTCCTCCCTATTATTAGCCCGCGCTTTACTTTCATCCCACATCTATATGCACCGATGGGACAAAACCGAACACCACGTTGTACAAGCCTCCACACATCCTCTTGCTCTCCTCTTCCGGAGGAACGTAAACGCCATTTCAAACACCTTCCTGGCATTCCATCCACCCTTCTTTGGCTGGAGTTGAATCTTCTAACCCTCCCTTCAACCATGGACACTTTGCTGATAATAATTGACCCAATTTGATGTTGATTCTTTGATGATTTTTATATTAATTTTTTCCCTTTTTGTTCTCCACTTTGGGGACTTTGATGAGAAATGCGAATATGAAATGGAATGGTACATGAAGGAAACAATCGGGAAAGCGGGCGGAGACGGCGATTTCTCCTTAATTATTGGCATGCAAGTGGACTTTTTTCATATTTTTCATATTTTTCGTTTTATTCTCTATTTTTGTATTCTTTTTTGCCTTTTTGAAATAAAATAGTAGACGGAGCCATGAAGATATGATCCAGGTGGTCATTTCCATCACTTTTTATTGTTATTAATTTTTTTTCCCCTTTCTGGCTTTGCTGTATTAGCTGGTAAAGTATTTAACCCTGTAACAGACTTTTCAAATATATTACTAGCGTTTGCAATTTCTCCCAAATCATGTGATATACGGACTGTTACGTCTTTATGCTTCCATCTACCAATAATAGCGGCTTGGGGAAGAGTTCTCTATCCTCATGCAGTAAGACACAATATCTATTCACTTAGTTGTTCGATGTCTTCCGTCCATTGACCTGCGTCTATACTGATGTCTTTGTCTTCTATCCTGCCAAGGTCCTAAAATTAATAGTTACCCATCTATCATC